CAGGGTACTTTTAAAACTTAGTCAAAATGGATCTTTTATCAGAATTTGGCTTAAATATTAGAAAGCTAATACAATTCCACTAACACTTAAATTCCACTAACATTTAAAAATGATGGCAGAAAACAGTTAATTATTTACACAGGTTAGAAAAGATGTGAAAATTAAACTTTAATTTCAGAAATACATCAGATATTCTGTACCTCTCTCCAACTCCATAAAAAGCAAATGTTGTAAATGTAAAGAAAAATCCTGTTTATGTAAATTCAACACATCGTTGTGCTGTATGCAAAAAGAACTTAAAGGTGAGAAAACAGACAATAAAATCGATCAGGGCAGGGACCATTATATCCCTAACAACTCGTATAGTGCATGGCATTCAAATATTTACTACATTTAAATCAAAGAATAAATGAATGACACAGACCTTGATTTGAAAGATCTTAAAATCTAACAGAAGAGGTTTTGAATGAAACCATTGATGAATTATCAAGGAGGAAGTGTGTCCTTTATCTGCGAGAGGATGAGGTTCTTGAGTCAATTTAGAGGTATGCTTCAAAAATATTTGGCATTTACTCTTGACAAATAAAATATATATCTACAGATTTAAAAAAATTGGCAACAGTGAGGAATAGATTTGTGAGGGAAGAGACCGTCGGTAGGGAAGCCAGTTAGAAAACTCTTCAAGGTGGGCGCCTGGGTGGCTCAGTGGGTTAAGCATCTGCCTTCGGCTCAGCTCATGATCCTGGGGTCCTGGATCCAGCCCCACGTTGGGCTCCCTGCTCAGTCCGCTTCTCCCTCTCCCTCTGCCTCTCCCTACACACGCTTGTGCTCTCTGTCAGATAAATAAAATCTTTAAAAAAAATCTTCAAGATAAGAGATATAGTTTAACCTTAGCTAGAGGCAACAAGATCTGAAAGGGAGATGGGCATTAAAGATATTATAGAGACAGAACTTATAGAATGTCTGTGGCAAATGGACAGGAAGCAAAAATGACAGCATTTTCAAACCTGGGTGATTGGAAGAATGGTAACATCATCATAAAGAAGGAAGTAAGAAGGCTACAGTTTCAGGAGGGTTGGGTGTGGCTTTAAATAAATTTGGTTTTAATTAGGTATCTGACAACCAAATAGAGGAATAGGAGTCTGGTGTCTTACCTACCCAGTCTTTTACAGTTATCCAGCCTTCACCAAATTTGAGAGCAAATTTGTTAAGAACTCTTCTATATTGAGATGTCCCAGAGCATTCAATTTAATTTTCAAGGAATGACTTTTCTTTTCTTTATACTCATTAATTAACATGCCTAAAATGTTTCATAATTATTAGAAGAAGCATACCTGTTAAAAACGGGTTTGTAAATAAACACAACCAACTTTTGGTGAGTACCCAGCTCATTAGGTAAGCACAGAGTTGTGCCCCACCATAGGGCATCCTATTTAGCCATGAGTATTTAGTTGGCCCTGGGGATCAGTAAGTACAATTTACAGAGAGAAAAGAGTGCATTAGGTTAAAACTATGAATCAATTTAGAGGAAGCCAGTTGAGGCTGCTTCTGCCTTTATTTTCCCACGTTATTACTTATCAATGGTAGCCTAAGTGATATAGCAGAAGGCCTGAGTCAATAACTAAGCCACTCACCAGCTAGCTGTATGATTTGGGCAAATCACCTCTTAGGTCTTCAGTTTTCTTTTCAGTTAAATGGGATTAAGTAAATAGCACCTGCAAATTATATGGATTTGAACTAATAGCAGCTACTATTTCCTAAGTGCATAAATGTGCATGATAATACATTAAGTCTCTACATTGAATGGGTCTTTAGTTGTCTCACACACTCTGGCAAACAGGGGTCATTCCTCTCTCCCCTTACAAATGAGGACACTGAAGTCAAGTGAGGTTACAGGTACCTGCTGAGTAGCAGAGTTCAAAGTGAAGCCAGGACTGACTCTAAAGACCATATACTTTCAAGTGTAACACATCACTTCTTGCTTGTAAAATATTCTCATCTGGAACTCGTAACTACCTTGTGAGAAGGTACAGTATGCATTTACCCCCATTGTCCGAATTGGGAAGCAGATTCAGAGTACAGTTGATTTGTACAAGGTTAGATATCAAGGAGTAATAAAGCAGACTTAAATTCTTTACCAATAAGATCTGACCAAAATAAAAGCAAATAAGGCACTAAAAGAGAAAAACAAAAAACAAAAAACAGTCCTTAAAGAACACATCACTCCTAATATAACAAGATACTAAGTTCATCATAATTGCAATTAAATGCCAAAGTGGCCTTTATTCCTGAAGTACAAGAGCCTCCCAGATTTCTCCCCACTTGACTCCTTTCCAATTTCCGTCACAAATTCTTATAGGGCAAAGTGCTGACCCACATTAATATATATCAAAAGTACCTTTTCATCCCTCAACTGCTTAGTGGTACTAATATCTGGAAGTAAAGCAAGCAACATTTAAAAAATCAGTTAAATTAATATTATATGGTCTTTTTATTCCTGAACTCATCCATAAAAGTTATCACAGTTGATACTATGAAGACCACAGCATAATTATAAGAAAATATTTACTTTTTTAAAAAGCCCTTTAACTTGGGGTGCCTGGGTGGCTCAGTCTATTAAGCATCTGCCTTTGGCTCGGGTCATGATCCCAGAGTCTGGGATTGAGCCCCACATTGGACTCCCCTGGTCGCAGGGAGCCTGCTTCTCCCTCTCCCTCCCTGCTTGTGCTTTCTCTTGCTACCTCTCTCTCTCAAATAAATAAACATTTGTTTTAAAAAGCCCTTTAACTTGATGACAAGTAAAAAAAAAAAGGAAGGAAGGAAGGAAGAAAGAAAGAAAGAAAGATAGATTTCCTTGCCACCCACTCTTAGATTTTGTGAATTTTGGTATATATTTGCTGTGGCACAAGGATGAAGACTGTTAATACCATAAAGATAATGGCAAACCACAAAGTCCTGCTTGATCCTTTATGGTTGGCATGTGATGTGACACCCAGCTGTCTTATGTGCCATAAAAAGTAATAATCTGGATAACCATCAGTTTGTCTTTTACTGACCTGAACCATATCCAGTGTTTCTATCTTCTATGTAGCTTTATGGTGATGGAGGGAAATAAAGGAATCAGTCAGTACTCTCTGGATACAAATATAATCAAGCAAAATTAGCTGGATTCTCGATACACATAATCAGCCAATCACAGATCAAGTTGATTCTGCTGCAGAACCAATCAGATTGTATAAATTGTGTATTAGCTGGAACAGGGAAAGCTGGGTAAGTTAAGGGTAGTAAAGGGCAATGTAAACAATAGAGAAAAATGTGAACCACTGTTTCTCAGCTGCTTGTAATTAGAAACAGTTAATCAATACAAGTTAACCATTATAAAGAAATTCCCTACCTAGACCTTAAAAAAAAAAAAGCACCACCAATTCATTCTATAATTCGACTCCAGCAAAAAGCAAAATGAGTTATGCCAGTCAGTCAAATGGCAATCAGTGGAGACCAGTGCAGGCTAGAATTATTTCTTAGTGTTAATTTAATGTTGTTAGGAGGCAGGTCAGAGCAGTCCTCCCCAACTCCCCATCCCCAGGGTGGAAGGGGGAACGTGACAAATTTAGGACAAATTGGTCAGGCGCCTCCAAAGCACCATGCCAAATCTGTCCAGCAATTCTAAATTCCTGTAGAGCAGGAGAATTGGGTATTCCTTCTTTCTGCTTATCAGAGAAATATCTCCCCAAAAAGAGGCAAATACTAAGTAAAAGTGAATCAACCAGCCTCAGTCTAAATCTCTTCTCATCCACTCTCCACACTATAGACAAAGTAACCTCCCAAAGTCCAATTCATGACCATATTACTTTTACTTAAAACTTTTGTTTTCAATCACCTACAAGCTCAATAAAAGCCAAGATCTTTAGTATGGAAACCAGTGTTTCTAATAATCTAGTAGTTCTTGCTATCTTTCCAGCCAACTTTCCTCTCAACCTCTCTTCCTATGTCACACTTTTCTCTCATAAAAAGTTAAAACAGGGGCGCCTGGGGGGCTCAGTCGTTGGGCGTCTGCCTTCGGCTCGGGTCATGTGGGATCGAGCCCCGCATCAGGCTCCCTGCTCCGCGGGAGGCCTGCTTCTCCCTCTCCCATTCCCCCTGCTTGTGTTCCCACTCACTGTGTCTCTCTCTGTCAAATAAATAAAATCTTAAAAAAAAAAAGAGTTAAAACACACTACATCAAAGGAAGCAAAATGAATATTATTGAATACTTCCCAAATGAAAAGGGCTATGGAAGACACTACAGATAATACAAGAGTGAGTGGAGCTAAATCTCTTTCCCTTCTGCATTTAACCTTCAGTTAACTCTCTTAGCCCTGTTCCCTGGCAATCTGATAAAAGTAGGTATGCCAACTATGTTACTAGGCAACATTGCTTATAGTAAAAATGATTAGTAAATTCTCATCTGGACTCAGAGGAACTCTAAATAAACTCTAAATATCTCATAGGAAGCCATAGCTTTGACCTCCCTGAGTGTGATGGCTCTTGTAATTGTCATATCCCTTATGGGGTCCCTGGAAGCTAAGTCTATGGAGTTGTATGGCATATTGTCTCCTGTGAGACACGAGATTTTTTAAACCAAGACAGCTCCTGCAGCCACCTTGTGTGAGCTTTCTCTCCTTCAGCTGAGCTTTCACTTGGAGCAAGGACTCCCAGATGGCTACAGGAACTGCTGACATGGACTGCTGTGAGGATCACAACCACTGATGAGGAACATTTGATGCTGCCTTGCTGCCAAGCTGTGGTTCCTGCCTGACAGCCTTCTAAGTAAACAAGCCTATCGTGGTTTTCTGTTTAGTTGAATCTAGAAAGACCCGTCCATTTGCATAACAAGAAGAGTAAAAGAATGCCTTAGAATGATGTTCCGGGTGTTCTACAATTTGTACCCAAACCCTCCCTGTCTGCTCTTTTAGATTAATATATATCCTTGACAAATCAAATACACAGCTTTTACTCACCTCTCTCTGTTGTTATTCCTTTTCTGGGGAGCCCGTCTTCCAGGTAACATATACTATCTCCCTGCAGTCCATTCCTTCAGCCATCTGTTCAGATGAAGCTATGGGTATTTGCAACCAGAGAGAAAGGAGATATTGGCTAGGTAAACGATGCAAGGAAACTTTCCTAAGAGAAGCTAAGTGTACACACTTGCAGAAAAAGAATGGAAATTTACTGAGAATAAAAAAATAGGTTGAAGTTTGAGGAGAGATGTGGCAATAGCATGTTAAAGTGTACAATGTTTAGATAGAGTGTCTAGACCAATTGTAGAAAAGAGCAGAGCAAGGCAGTATATCGAATGCTCCCCTTTTTCCGCATTAGCCATGGGGAGAAGCCAGGGAGCCCTGCATCAGCATCAAAAGCAGGTGGCTTATAAGAGTTAGACAATTCAGTAATCTGTACTTTGGGGGACGGAGGAGGATGGAGGAAAGGATTACAAAGGGGATGGCATTTACCAGTGGTTCAGGTAAGGGACAGTGTTGCTACAAGTGCTCCAACTCTACCTTCTTACCCCATTATCCTAATCAGCCTGCCCCAGTAGAATTTGCAAGCTGATGTTAATTGTGTCGTAGAAAGTTGCCGAATACCCTAACTTGTTATATTTTAGGGTCGACTCCATTATTTCCAAACTCTGACTGTGGTTAACTCAAGAACTAACCAAGATGTGGCACTTAGGAAAAAAACTTTAGTTCAGCTGCACTTGCTAAAGGCTCTAATAGGTTTAAGTGTGTGAATTCTTAAGTTAAAACACCCATTTAAAGCAAAATATAGAGAATCAGTCAACAGAGATAAAGAGGAATGAAGTACACTCCCAGAGAGACACTAGCAAGATATCCTAGAGGTGTGAAGGAAAGCAGTTCCGGCTCCTCTTTTTTTTTTTTTTTTAAGATTTTATTTATTTATTTGAGAGAGAGAAAAAGAGACAGCACAGGGGGAGGCATGGAGGAAAGGGAGACCCAGGACCCTGGGATCATGATCTGAGCTGAAGGCAGACACTCAACCGACTGAGCCACCCAGGCACCTCTATGGCTCCTAATTTTCTGTTATTGGTGTCAGTTGCCTCTGAGACTGAGCTGTATTCCCTGCTCTTGGACTCTGTGACATAAAGCTATAGCCTTCTTCTAACAACACACTCTTTTTGCTTAAGCTAGTTTAATTTGTCACCAAAAAAATCCTTAACCCAAAAACAGTGGTTGGAGCAAAGTGTATACATAATCAGGTTCTATCATAGTGAAAGATTCTGTTAATGCTGTTTTAAAAAGAAAGAGAACTCAATTATGGCTATTTTATTTGGCGCTGTAAACTTCCCATTCATCTTTTTATTCTCACAGGATCTAACATAGTGCCTTATACACACCACATTTAACACATTTAAATGTTTATAGAATGAAAAAAAATGTTTATTGAATGAACATATAATTAGAAAAGAATGAAATCTACTTGGTCAAAATAGTATGTCTAATTATGGAGTCTTCAAAAGCATTTCATTTCCAATTAATAAAAAATACTCTGCAATTCTCATTAGCATAATTCTGTGATTAAACAGACATACATACACCAAAAAATGCTGCATTCTGTGCTCTAAAAACTAAAAGCATAATTTGGATTTCATTTATTCAGATTTTGTTAACTCATGGGACTATAAAGCCTGCTTAGTGCAGACTATTCCAGTTCTCCTTCTGGGCACATGATAGAATTGCATCTCTCAACTTCCTTGAAGTTGGGTGTAGCCATATGATTTCTTTGGCCATTAAAATGTTAGCAGAAGTTACATGTGTCACTTCCAAGTAGAAGCCTTTAAGAGCCAAGGTGCAATTCATCACCTCCTTCCGCCCCCACCCCCGCCCTAACAATTGTGGAAGCACGTATTCCTCCAATAAACTGGTGCTCCAACCTGGAACAGAGTACTCCTGTTGACCCTACTTGGACATGTCCTGTGACTAAGATACAACCCTTTTTCTAAACCACTGAGACGCGAGGGTCTTTTGTTACAACAGCAAAATTTACACTACCTGACATATTCAGCAAGCACTTCTCTCATATATGGAGTAAAAACAATGAACAGCTCTGGCCTTCAATTTGTCTTCAGAATAGTAGCATTTTGTATAGTACTGCATTATTTATATAAGAATACTTTCTTATAGAAGTGTACCTCATCATCCAGACTCTCAAAATCCAAACAGAGGAACTGGAGTCAGATCCATTTTTGGACCAATCCCTCATTCTCTCAACTCCCAGTACCTGCTATCTGAAACTCAGGGACCAAATACATATGGATGAGGTGCTATTCCTTGCCTTTCAAATTCTTGCCATCTGAACTCAGGAGTGAAAAAAAAATTTAGACAGTAAAGGATTCTTGATCCATTATTTTATTTGTTCCCATAAAGCTGTTTTGCTACTACAATACTTCTTAGACCCTCAACATCCATTGAATGAACTGTGTGCTGTTATCATTCTAATTTTACAAACAAGGAAAAAGATTCAGGGAGGTTCATAAATTTGCTGGGAACAACCTTACATGTTAGTAGTACAATCCCAGATGTACCATGCTTTCTAAGGTCTCTTACAGCTACAGAATTCCAGGATTTGATAGTAAATTAATAGTAACAATCATGTTGTGATTTTAAAAAAAACCTATGTTAATCACATATTTACATTCAAGAATAATTAAAGTCATTCTTGAAGCAATTCTACTTGCCTGAACATAGTCTAATCCGGGACCCTGAGTGCCCTGAAGCACAGAACAGGAAGAAATCCTAGAGATCACCTGGTCAAACAGGCAACCTGCAGAACAATGAGGAATTAAGAATTTAGGGGAAAGGTAGCCTTTTCCTCTGACATACAGTCTATTTAAAATTCTGACTTTTAGATTCTCTTCACTGGTTCTTACCAAATTGGCTAACCTCAAACTCTTTGCTCTCCCGATTTTTTATCAAACCTCGGGAAGGACTTCCTGTCCATCCATTTCTATAGGTTCAGTGGTTCTCAATGGTCAAATAAGTTTGTAAAAGGTCACATAATAATCTCCTTTAAGAGTCATCTTTCACATTAGCCAAGAAATTGAGTAAAAAACTACTGAAATTTGTCTAACCCAGCTACTTCAAAGTTATATGAGTTCAGATTCTTATTTCAAGAAATAAACTATTGATTGCTCATTTCTTAGAACACAGTTTGGGAAATACTCTTCTAGGTAATTCTAAATGTTATAAATGGATCAAGTTAAGCCTTCAGGGAAGGGAACTTATCGTTGGAGTTTTATTACCGCCCTACATTGAAGAACACTGTCTAAAATTCATTATTTTCTGTAGGGATTTTTTAAAAAGATTTTATTTATTTACTTGATAGAGAGCTCAAGAGAGGGAGCACAAGCAGGGGGAGTAGGAGAGAGCCCCCCAATGTGGGGCTTGATCCCAGGACCCTGAGATCATGACCTGAGCTGGAGGCAGACACTTGACTGAGCCATCAGGCGCCCCTGTAGGGATTTTTTTAAAGATGTTGCCAACTTCATCATACAATTTAATCTCCCCTTTTATTAGTGCCCATGAGAGAATGCCCTTCTCAGGCCTCATCACCAGAAAATGCCTCCTTAGGGAGAACTGATTTGTTTTTATCTTGTAAGTAGAAACACACTGAAACTTATTTTATCGCTCCCCCCCTCCTTTTTTTTCCTGGCTGCTGTGAAGCCCAGAGCCAAAACTGCGACTCACTTTTAGTACAGGATCTTATACTATGCACTTGGTGTTATCTGTTCCCTTGGCTTTGTTTCCTTTTTTCCTGCTCTGCCTCAATTTTCTCATTTAGTTTTGTTTTATCCTTTTGTACTATATGGACACAAACTGGCTTCATTTTTGGAACTCTATGTTGTATACTTAAGTCCCATCTTCTTACTAGTTTCATATTGATTTTTCCCTACCTGCCCCATTACCCAAAAATATCAGTGTATTCACCTTTGTGTAAAAGTATTCATAGTTATGACACCAACAGAACATACACATCCACAATAGTCAAATCCGCAAATGCCTAAAACCAGAAAAAAAGTCATTATTGTTCTTTTAGCGGTCTAAAAACCAAAACGACTTATTAAACTGTGCTCTAAATGGAAGAATTACCATTTATTGGGTACCAGTAACTGCCAGGCACTTAATATACAACAGTTTCACTTTTTAAAGAATGAAGCAAGGGCATTTGCATATGCTCTATCTCTGAAAGGATCAATTAGAAACTGGTAATATTGGGAAAAAAAAGAAACTGGTAATATTGGTCGGCTGGGCGGGGAGAAACTTTGTATATCCCTTTTGTACCTTTTGAATTCTGTGAATGTTATCAACTATTCCAAAATATTTGTAAAAATCAAATGGGATAGTAAAGATGGCAGTAATGCTTTACTCTGCTTTCACAAACTTTTTTCATCAGCTTTGGATCCCTGAGTATGGACTGAAATGCCCACAGGAGTTTCCAGCAGGCACGCCAGTTTTTATTGAAATAAAGTCCCTTTCTGATTCTCCACTCTTTGGCAGGAGGCAATTACTTAAAAAAACTGAGATTGTGATAGCCTGAGGATAACAATGAAAAAAAAATCCGAAATAGTTTCCAGTTGGGTTTTATTAGTGAAAGTGTGCGGGGTGAAAGCAACGCAGTCCACGCCTCAGCCGGCCGGCCGCACCACCGCGTGCACAACTTTGACCAAGTCGGAGCGCGGCCCACACGCCGCTCCGGGCCCCCAGTGCGCGGCCGGGAGGCCGGACCGGGGTTCGAGCCCCGGGCGCGGCTGGGGCAGGTCCCCGCCCGACCCACCCCTTAGCTCGGAGGTGCCCAGAAGGCCCCGCGGGACCCCGGCCGCCGGGGCCCGGCGGGAGGGTCGCGTAGGGGCTGGGAGCGGGCCTCGCCGCGCGGCCGGCCCGCCGAGGCCCCCTCCCCGACGCCGAACAGGAAGGCGCACTTACCGCGACGGGCTCCGGAGGCCGCCGGGGGTCAAGGCGGGGCGGGGCGGCCAGGCGGGGGGCGGGGCGCAGGCGGGGGGCGGGGGCCAGCGGGCCGGGGGTAGGGATGTTCGGCCCCACGGGCGCCCCCAACCCCTCCCCGGCAGCCTCACCCCGGACGCCGGCCGGCCCGGAGCCGGCCACTCCCCCTCCGTCAGGCTGCACCAGGCCGAGGGGGCACGAACTGGTCGGGCAGCCCAGGAGGGGGCGGGCGAGCTGGCAGGGGTCGGGCCGGCTCGCCCGTCAGTCCCGGTGCGGCGCGAGCGGCTGCCCGCCCCGCCCCCTCCCGCCAGGCCCCGCCCCCTCCGCGCGGGGCCGCGTGCCCCGGGAGACCGCCGCCGCCGGGTTGGCGCTTTCTCTCCCCCCACCCCCCCACAGCGCGGTGCGCGCGGACGGCCTGGGCCCGGGAGGGAGTAGGTGGGGGAGGTGGAAGGAGAGGGAGGGGAGGGGAGGGGAGGGGAGGGGAGGGGAGGGGATGGGAAGGAAGGGCGAGGCGCGGGCTGCGGCTAGGGGAGCTCCTGGGGGAGGGGAGCTCCTTGGGAGAGGGGGTGGTGGACGCCAGACTGGGCGGGGCTGTGGGGCAGGGGGCGGGGCGCGGCGGACCTGACAAATATTCCGGTTGTTCCCGCCCCCTGAAGCTGGGATGAGGGGAATTCCCGGGGCTGGAAGTTTAGGAAGAGGCACCTCTACAAGGGCAGGAAGAGAGCGGGCCTGTGGATTTGATTCCTTGGAGAACTGGACTGTAGTGTCCTAGAGCTTTGAGGGAACTCAGCAAGAGTTGCCTCTCTTCTCCATCCCCTACAACCCTTCCCCTTCAACAGTCTGATAATTATTGTGTACCAGGTAGTGGGTTTGTGCCATAGCAATTATGATCCTCAGCTCTGTGACCATAATCCTTGTTTTCCAATGGTGGGATAATAGGAACGCAACAGAAGTAGGTTCTTTATTCATTCCTATAGCCAACGTACATTAAGAAACAACTGTATGCTAGGCGCTGAGAATAACGAGAACTAATTTATTCAGCGCCTATATGCCAAACACAAATTTTAAGGGTTTTACATATGTTAGCTCATAATCAGTCTTGGGCGAAACAGCTAAAGTCTCTGCCCCCCTCCCCCCATGGAGCTCATGGTGGAAAAAGGAGGGAAGGAGTTTCCTTAGTTTGTCTCAGTGATAACGTAAAAGAAATGTTCACCTGCTTTTGGTTCTCAAAGTAACTCATATGTTAATTATTTGCAGATTCCGTGTTTGCTACTTTGAGCTAGCTGTGTGCTGTCCTTGAGGATGGAATTTTCCCCCACAAAATGACATTTGCTTAGGAGATCTTCAGTATGTCTCCACAATAAAAATCCAGTGCTAGAAAGTGGTCCAGAAAGCTGATGGATCAAATCATTAACAGAACAACTTAGGCCAATTACCGTAGCTGCCTGCGATGGCTGGGAGATCTCTTTAGGGATCTGTTTTGTACCCTCCTGCTTGAGGAAGTGGTTAAGAAAAAGCAACATAATATACAACAATGAAGCATTGACATGGACTGCTAACTCAAAGGGAAGCGGATGGGCCTACTTAAAACTTACAATCAGGAAAGACATCACAGGATCTACCAATCACAAAGCACAGGATATATTTTTATCAGAGCCATGTGGTTGTGACTTCCACCCCACCCAACCCCATCCCCTTTGCAACGACACCTACATGCACAAACAAAAATTACTTCAGTGGCATTGTTTTTAAGTACAGAAGACAGTTGTGTAAACCCTTGGCCTGAATTTTTGGGATATGGTACTATTTTTCAGCCCTTACTTGATTTTTTTCAGAGTTAACATTTGTGCACAGTACCAGCAAATGACATTCTTCTCATAGTTATTTTGTCCCCCCTCTCATTTGTTGTTTTGGAATTTTAATTCAGCCTTTCTCTTTTGGGTTTATGGTGAGAAAAATTAGAAAAACATTGCAATCAAATCAGATTACAGTTGCAGTAAAAAAATGAATCCTAATTTAAGACAGGAATTCCTATAAACCCTTTCCTTTTTTTTATGTGAAATATATTGTTTGTCTCAAAATCTGTTCTCTTTGATTTACTCATGTGTATTTTCAGCTTATTTGCTCTACCACCCCAATAAACACAAATTAAAGAAAACATTCCTCATGATCTGGCACCCTGCTAGTGGCCTCAACACCCACCTTGGTTCTTCTCAGGCTGTTCCCCACACTGGACTCCTTCTGCCAACATACCAAACACCAGTGAAGCCTTTGCTTGTCCCTCTGTCTGGAAGGCTTTCAGCTAACCACATGCTGCCTCCCTTTCCCTTCATGTCACCTTTCCTGACTATCCCATGTCAACCTGCAAACCGTGCCTCCCTCCCACTCTCTAGCTACTCATTTCTCAGCACATAGCACCACCTGACATATATATCTGTCTCTATTCCCACTAGAATGTGAACTCCGTAAGAACAGAATCTTGGGGCACCTGGGTGGCTCAGTCGTTGGGGGTCTGCCTTCGGCTTGGGTCATGATCCCAGGGTCCTGGGATGGAGCCCTGCATTGGGCTCCCTGCTCAGCGGGAAGCCTGCTTCTCCCTCTCCCACTCCCCCTGCTGGGGTTCCCTCTCTCTCTCTCTGTCAAATAAATAAAATCTTTAAAAAGGAAAAAAGAACAGAATCTTGTCTGTTTGGTTGAATGGTACATCTCTAGCGTCTATTACTTATCAAGTCTGTCACATAGTAGATACTCAACAAATATTTATGAATGAATGAATGGCTTCACATAGGAAAGATAGTGTGCATTCCTTTTTGTAATGGCCAAAGGGTTTTCATGCAATTCACCTTATAACTGAGTCATAGGACTTAGATGGATTAATAAGGTTGAAAATAAAGCCATTTCATCCTACTTAAAATTAGTATTTGAAATAGCTGTTTTTTAATCTCCTAGTCTGGCAATATACCAAGGAACAGAATTTGAAAAAGCATTCACAGCTAAGAATTCATGCTGAGATTTTACAAGTTGGCCCATAAATGGATCTATGGAATCAGAGGATAATGATGGATCAGTAAATCCTGTCAAAGGCTTAATATTTTTCCCTGAGATGAAACAATATAGCAGTGATCAGAAGTGGAATAATTGAACCTAAATTTGATTACTGATAACTTGATAGATGGTATTCATGCTCCTTTGTCAGTACTTTAATAATTTTAACTGACAATCATGTTGGTGAAGTTAACAATGTTTTAATCTGGTTAAAGTGCGGTTCTGAAAGATAGCAAACAGAACTTAATCGTAGTGTGTAGACACCTTTAACAAAGAAATAGTGTGACTTCTGCCCTGATTACCAGTTTGTGTGAGTGTGGAAGGGGGATTAGAGGCTTAAATATCATTAAATACAGTGTCTATGTTCAAAATCTGGATCCCGGGGAGGGGATGTCTTTTAGAGGATTTAGGATTTCTTTTAAAAGTACCGCTGCTGTTCATGTTTTGGCATGAAACAGCCTCCTATTAAAATATGGAGCTTTAATAGGCAGGAGCAGATCATACCCCTGGAAGAAGAACTTCCATGTTGACAGAGACAGGTGGCCAAGTAAACCCAACTCAAACTTTGTTCCCTTGAAGTTCACCTCAGATTTTCACTCTGGTTTCTCTTGGTTCCCCAGGGTAATTCATTCCCCTTTTAACGTAGATTATACAAAAAAGTGAGGGGTAGGGAGAGAAAGAATGAAAGAAAGAAAAAGGAAAAAAAAAAAAGCTTCCTGGACTTCCTTTACCGGAGCCAAGCCAATCTAGAATTTTCCCCATGAACTTTACTAGAATCTAAAGGAGAAGGAAAATGAAATTGTTATGGAAAATGTAAGCAACATACATAATTCCATTCATTTGCTAAGTGGATCTTTTGCAGTTTCCATTCTTCTAGGAACAAATATTTGTCCTCAAAGGGCAGGTATAAATTTGCAGGCATTCTCCCTAGTTTCCTCCCATCTTGGCTCCCTTTCTTTCTCCACATGTTAGGTCCCTTTTCTGTCTTTCCCGTGGGAGCCATCAAGCCTGTCCCAATCACAGCCAAGGCTAAAAGCCTCACTTGTACTGTTCAATTCCTACCTGTGGTTCACAGGGATACAGCATGGTCCCAGTCCAATTACGAGACTTGGGGGCTGCCACTGTATATGAGCTCCCTCCTCAGGTGGGAGGGGTTCTGCCAGCCCACTGTCAGGCCACGCCCATCATTCCCCAGAACAACCCTGGTGCCTGGGCCAAGGGGAGGGAATGTGCATTCTCTCATGCACATTTCCATCCACCCATACGTAAGTAGCCCTCCTACAGTCAATCAGGCCACATTCTTTGACGGAAAAAAAAGTTTTTGTAAAACAACTTTAAACACTTCCTGCCAGTCCCCTCAACCTTTGTACAAATCACAAACCCGATTCTCTTCATTTGCCAGGACGCTGCTTAACTACACACTTCAGCGACTCTTCATCATCTTCAAGGTAAAAGTCAAACATCTTATCATGGTTATAAGATCCTTCATAATCTAACTCTTCTCTGTCTCCTCAGGCCTGGGCCCATTGCAGTGTCCAGTGTGTGTTATTTCTCCCACAATTATATCTTTAAATATGTTTCCTCCATCTGGACTGCCCTGCTTTTCCAATCCCTGCTTGTTTAGGTCCTTCAAGACTCAACTTAAGGATTACCTCCTCTGGCAGTCTTTATCCTGATCTCTACAGGCTGAGTGTGTTCCTACTCTGTATTCACATAAGACTGCAGGGGAGGAAAAATAATTTTCCCTCTACCCTTCTAAGGTTCTTGGCTGAGACACTCCCTGTAATAAAAGATTAATAAATGTAATGTATGGTAATTAACATAACAATAAAAAATTAAAAATAAAAGATTAATAATATGTATACCTCCTGTATACATGGGAAATACTCAGGAAAACTGAGTAACTCCCCCACATAGCCCAAGCCACTACCTTAAATACCATCTCCAGCTGAAGACAAGAGATGTTAGGGCCACATGGGGGGGGGGCAGTTATGGGAGATTACCAGGCAAAGCACAGTAAGCAAAGGTATGGCTGTTTTGCAGGTCTAAGTCAGTTGACTTTTCCAGATATAAGGGTCTCTACAGATTTGGCCATCCTCCTCTTCCAGGTACACAGGAAACACCCTCAAAAATGGAGATTAAGTGTCCGACTCTTGGTTTTGGCTCAGGTCCTGATCTCAGGGCCCTGATCTCAGGCTCCTGAGATGGAGCCCTGTATCGGGCTCCACCACTGAGCACAGTCTGCTTAAGACTTTCTCCCTCTTCCTCTGTTCTCCCCTCTGTGTGCTCTCTCTCTCTCTCTCTTTAAAATAAGGAAGAAAGAAGAAGAAAGAAAGAAAGAAAGAAAGAAAGAAAGAAAGAAAGAAAGAACAAAAGAAAGAAAGAAAGAACAAAAGAAAGAAAGAAAGAAAAAGAGAAAAACTTTTCTTTTTAAAAATATTTTATTTATTTATTTGACAGAGAGAGAGAGACAGCAAGAGAGGGAACACAAGCAGGGGAGTGGGAGAGGGAGAAGCAGGCTTCCCGCAGAGCAGGGAGCCCGATGCAGGGGCTCGATCCCAGGACCCCGGGATCATGACCCGAGCCGAAGGCAGACGCTTAACAACTGAGCCACCCAGGTGCCCCAGAAAGAAAAATATTTTTAAAAATAGTATGTGAACGTCTCTTACAAAATAGTATCTTCTACTTGGTTTTCAGTGTGTCTGTTGTTTCTTAAAAATAATCAGCCTAGGGGAGCCTGGGTGGCTCAGTCGGTTAAGTGTCTGCCTTCGGCTCGGGTCATGATCCCAGGGTCCTGAGATTGAGCCCCTTGTCATCAGGTTCCCTGATCCTCGGGGAGTCTGCTTCTCCCTCTCCTCCCCTCTCTCACTATCTCTCTCTCTCTTCAAATAATAAATAAAAATCTTAAAGAAATAATCAGCCTAAATTAATCCTTATGTCAAAGAGGCATATTTTAGGGTGATATATTTTGCTCTTCTTCAAAACCCTGTGTACCCCTCTACTGTAGCAGTTACTTGATGGACTGTGAATATTGACTCCTTGTTTGTCTCCCTGACTAGTGAAGTGGTTTATGACTGCAGGTACTCATAAAGATTTGTTGAATCAAAGTATTTGTTGAATGAAAGAAAGAAAGAAAGAAAGAGAGAGAGAGAGAGAGAGAAAGAAAGAAAGAAAGAAAGAAAGAAAGAAAGAAAGAAAGAAAGAGAAAAGTGTCCCTTGCCTATGAAGGCTTGAAAAATAACAATTTATTAGAGATGGCCATTATTTCCTCTGAGCACTATAACATGTACAAGCAGGACCTTTCCTCTAATTTATCGCATTAGACTACCAGTTTCATGAAACTTTAGAGGGTCCTTAATTTAGGATTCCATAAACTTCAAAGGCAAGGGAATGAACACAAAGTACTTATATTTATTTTTATACATTAAAAAATTCTTTCAGCATTTCAATATACTTTACTTTTAGAAAATAACAGTTTTACTGCTTTTACTTTCAAAAAATAACATTTGTAAGGCTACAAATTGATGTCACTTTCTTAGGAGTTAAAAAAAATGTTCCAGGGTGTATCTTCATATTTGATAGATGACTTCCTGATTCACCAACAGACAGGAAGCCCTCAATCTGGCTTCCATTGTAATGTTCTCAGAGCACAAGTTCATAACCACTAGACAAGTTTGTCACTGTGCTGATGGCTTACTTATGGAACATTTATTCAGCAACACTCACCAGCTGTGATGAAGAGGCCCACAGCAAAGGAGATGCCGTGTTGCTTGTTATGGGGGAGAGAACGAACCAAGATGAATCAGACAGGTAAGTAAACTGAAAAGTCCTTATCAATCATTATGCTCCCCCTTCCTCCTCCATTTTGTTCATCTTTTTAAAAGCACACATGCCTCTGTGTTCACACTTACATTCTATATTCAGTGACTATACTTAGCACAGAATTCTCGGGGAAAGATTCTGGCTGAGTAACAAGCAGCTGACCTGAGACCGGAAAATAGTGGGTGAAAAGAAGGTGGCACTCACTATACACATTCGAAGATGCTCGGAGTCAATGGTCTAAGCAATACAGAAACGGGAGAAAATAAGCATTTCATTTTCCTCTACTAAGAAAATCAAGAAATAGTATTACATGCAGAGTCCCCATAAAAAAAGAGACAGAAGAGCATAATCGAAATATTCTTCATGATGCTAGAATAAAACAACCTTGACTCTTTACAAAATAGAGTCATAGTAATTGCTCTATTAGTATTAGGTCTCACCGGTGCAGCCTGAGATAAAAAGAACTGGCTGCAACAAGAGGGCTCTTCTGAATCTAAGTAATACTATTTCTTGATTTTCTTGGTGAATGGAGGGGGAGAGAATGACATGCATTCATAATTTGACACTGAAATGCCCTCTTGTTACAGTCAGTTCTTTTTCCCTCCAACTGGACCCATTGGACCTGATACTTTCAGACTCTGAACAATTTCTTTTATTCTATTTCCTGGAGAATCAGATTGGTATATTCTAGCATCACGAAGAATGTTTTGATTTGTGCTTTTCTCTCTTTATACATGTAATTAACAAGAGAGTGCATTTCAATGTCAAACTAGTTGCCAGAAACTTTGTTCCCAGAGGCCGAAATATTGCAGCAGTTCTAGGGGTCCATTCCAGGCTGCTGCCTCCTCCCCCCCCCCTCCTCCTTTCTTCCTCAGATTTATTTATTTAATTGAGTGAGAGAGTGCAAGTGATTGGGGGGAGGGGCAGAGGAAGAGGAAGAGAATCTCAAGCAGACTCCCCACTGAGCGCAGAGCCAGGCGTGGGGCTCGATCTCACCACCTGAGATCACGACCCAGAGATCAGGACCTGAGCCAAAATCAAGAGTCGGCTGCTTAAGTGACTGAGCCACCCAGGTGCCCCTGGTTTTCCTTTCCTGCTTCCCCTCTCTGAGTGTACCGGCTGGGCTGACAAGCCTGCCTCATATTCCTTTTAAGGAGAGTGGCCGCACCAGTTCTGTCCTGCATAGGCTGATATCTTGGTGCAGTGGGTTTTGTTAGTGAACACAGACTCTGTTTTCCCTGCCACAGGTGATTGGCAGCGGGGATGGTGTAGGCAAAGCAGCTAGGTTTGGCCCGGGTGCGAGAAGGCCAGACGCCTCTAAGGAGGCCTGCGTGTGGGAGCCTCAGGTAAACTCTGCCCGATCTCCGGAGTTCTAAACACAGTGGTGGCAGATCAAACCAGATACTCCCCAGAGGGGAGGGGAACAAGGAGAAGGCAGCGCAGTGAACCGCAGCCTGTAGTCTGAGCAACGCTGAGCACCTTCTCCCTTTCTCTGAGGGGCTGGCTCTACTTCCCGGGGGGGGGGGGGGGGGGCCTGGCCGCCCTGGCCGCTGAAGGGGTGACCTCCTGCGTGCCCTCATGCCCTAGCGTTCTTTCCAGCAGCTCCACCACAGCCACTGAAAGCAAGCAGGGACGGGACTGGGGTCTCTTCCGGCCTGAACCGAGGCTCTCAGTGAATTTCCAGCTCTGGCCCTGGCTCCTAGCCCCTTTCTCAGTAATCTCCGGTTCTAAAGCAGCAAAAAGCCTGTGTGGAGTGGAGGGGAGGAAAACATCGCCTTTCTTCCCTTCTGGATGCTTTGGCTGGCCTAATAATTAAAATGACATAAGACAGATTAACAGGAGACAAACAAATTGAGTTTCATACATACCAGAGCTCATAGAAGTATGAGGCTCAAAGAAGGAACCAGAGCCAAAGCTTTTATATCTTTTAGACAAAAAAACAACTATTTGTGAAGATTGGACAAGGGGTTTGGGTTTGGGGTAGCAAATTAATAAATAACAAGGTTTGTTAATATAGGCTTCTTGGCCCTGCATTCCCCATCTCTGGCAATAAGGATGCCTTCTACCCCTCTAGGTGCAAAGAACCTACTTTTCACATGGGGAATTTATTTCATGCTTTCAGTAGGGCAAAGGAGGATCAGAGTGTCCTTCTTGCAGTGATGGTTTCTTAAGTAATTTTTTTTTAAGATTTTATTTATTTATCTGAGAGAAACAGATAGTGACAGAGCTAGCGAGAGATAGCACAAACTGGGAGGAGAGGGAGAAGCAGGCTCCTGCCGAGCAGGGAGCCCGACGACGTGGGGCTCCATCCCAGGACCCTGGGATCACAACCTGAGCCAAAGGCAGATGCCTAACCGACTGAGCCAGCCAGGCGCCCCCTTAAGTAATTTTAATTGAAGATAATTAATATTCCAAAGTGGCATATTTGGGGGTGGCCCGCCTTGACCCCCATCAGGAGAGAAAGAGAGAGAAAATATGTATTGGGTTATAATTTACATATAGTAAAATCCACCCCTGTGAACGTACAGTTCTAGAGTTTTGACTAATGCAAACAGTTGTAAACCACCACATCATCGAGATATAATCCATATATAGAACATTTCCATCACCCTAAAAATTCCCTCAGGCACCTTTGTAATCAACCCTCCCTCTACCTCCAGCCTCTTGTGGCAACCACTGAGGTATTTTTTGTCCCTGTAGTTTTGCCTTTTCCCTAGTGTCGTATAAATGGATCGTACAAAAACTTCTTTAACATTCTTATCGAGAGCATCATGTGTCCTGCCCAACTCTCTGTTCGCACATCATATTTTGCCTTATTTTTTTTCAGAACAGTTAACATCCGAAGATAAACTGTTGTCATTATTTGATTATTGTCTGTCACTGGAATGTGGGTGTGAAGACTTTGCTTCATTTGCTACTTCATCTCCAGGGCTGGGAAGCCTGCCTGACGTTGTGTAGGCGTTCAGTAAATATTTGTAGAATGAACCGCAAAATGAATGAGGATGTTGGAACTTCCCAAAACCCTCTCCAGACTCAGGCCAACTTCGTTAATAAGAGATTATCTCCTCCCACAAAATGTGTTAATCCAGGCATTGCTGTGTTGCCAAAGTAGTTTGTCTGCAAGCAACACAATTAGAAGTCATTTGGCGGACCCAGATTATGAATTGTCTTTTAAATTCACTTTCTGGATGATTAGGTTACCTGGTATAGAACTCGTCTGAAGTGAGTACAATGGAAATCATGACAGTAACGATTTCATAGGGTTGTCAGGAGGATGAAATGACTTCATGTAAGTGAAGTGTGAGGCGCAATGGTTCTCAAGTGGAAGCTATTTTGCCCCCAGCAGAAACAGCTGGCAATGTCTGGAGATATTTTGTTGTTGTTGTCAAAACTGGGCTAGGGAGTCGCTACTGGCATCTGCTGCGAAACATCCTACAAAGAACAGGACAGCCCCCTACAAACAGAATTATCCGGCCCAAAACGTCAGTAGTGCTCCCCATGAGAAATCCTGGGTTAGAGCAGTGTCTGACAGAGTAGGGGCTATATTTGTGTTTGTTATTATCCTTATTGTTTTATAAGTGACCCTTCTTGACAAATGTTCTCACACAGTCTGAGGGTGGGGGGATAGCACAGTGGTTGAAAGCATTAAGTCTGCAGTGAGACTCTCTGGGTTTGAAGCCAGAACTTTTTTACTTTGTGTTAACAATGTGATTTTGAGCACTTTCCTGACTTTTCAATACCTAATAGTCTTTGCTTGTAAAATCAGAATAACACAGTGGTAACTCCCTCGGAGATTTGCTGGGGGATTGAATAAAAGAATCCATATAAAACATTTAATACTGTGCAGGAGCCCATGATAAATGTCCAATAAACATCATTGATCATTGCTATTGTTTTTGTTGACCCCAAAAGATCTCTCTATACAATATAGTGAAGGGATTAAGGATAGTTTAAATGAGAAAAGAAATAGAAAATGTATTGCTCACATAAAGCATATACAAGTGTATATTTCACATAATAATAGATGACTACATAGAACTTAATCCAAACCATCCTTTTTAAGGCTGTTATTTATTATTTTTTAAAAGTATGTTGCTCTTGCTTCCTTGGGTAGAGCAGCTCCTGGAAATAAAGATTTCTGTCATTTTAAAAATTTGTGTCTAGGGGCGCCTCAGTGGCACAGATGGTTAAGTGTCTGAGTCTTGGTTTCAGCTCAGGTTGTGATCTAAGGATCGTGAGATTGAGTTTCTCCCTCCCCTAGTCTCTCTCTCCCCCTTTTTTTTTTTTTTGGATTTTATTTATTTGACAGAGAGAGACACAGCGAGAGAGGGAACACAAGCAGGGGGAGTGGGAGAGGGAGAAGCAGGCTTCCCACAGAGCAGGGAGCCCGATGCGGGGTTCGATCCCAGAACCCTGGGATCATGACCTGAGCCGAAGGCAGACACTTGACAACTGAGCCACTCAGGCACCCTCTCTCTCTCTCAAATAAATAAATAAATCTTTAAAAAATTGTATCTAGCACACAATGTACAATTATTAATTAGGGCTTTAGTCTTGATTAGAAGCATGAATACTTTAAAGTATTTGAGAACCTGAGTCTATGATATGAAGTATAAGACTTAGGAAAGTTAAACACTAATGTAGCAACACCCTCTTGTGTTTTAGATGTATTAATTTCTTACTCCTTCATTGAGGTAGGAGAGAGAAGCCCACAATGGATGGATAATAGCAGATTTGTACTCATGTTCTTAGATTCTGCCTTTATAATCTAATATCTGTGAAGGTGCTTTGGAAATTATAAAATGAAACTATGGAACTGTGGTCCATTACCATTATTATTAAGAGGGTCGGATGTTTCCATTGTTAAAAAAAAATGACCAGGCTTCTTAGTTTGTTATTATGCATTCCAGGCAGCCAAAATCAGTCTGCAAGTAAATTTTGTATTTAAGAGTAAACTACTTGATAAGCTATAAATTATTTGGTTTAATATTATAAATACAATGAGGAAGAATTGCGTTTCTTAGCATAAAAGTTTTAAGTCCATAATCTACCATATTTTATATTCTATCTCAAAGAGGGGAGAAAAAACCCATCCTATACAAAAAGAAATGGAACACGACAACTTGAGGAAAATGTTTGCAACATATATGGCAAGGGATACATATTCCCAGTAGAGAAAAATGCCTATAAAGCAACAACAAGGATACAAATGCTCCAGTAAGAGACATGAACAGGCAATTCATAAGAAATTCAAATTGCCAGCAAATATGAAAAATGCTTAGACTTACTAGCAATCAAAGAAATGAATATTAAAACAAGTGTTTTTCCTTCCTTTTCAAATTGACAAAAGTTAAGAAAATAAAATGGCCAATGTTAAAGTTTGGTGACATGGGCGCTCTCGAGAATACACTCTTGGTTGAGTATATGTTGACTCACTTTTTCGGGAGATAGTTGTCTATATGAATTAAGAACTTCAAAAATCTTCACACTGTTTGTCTTAGTAATTCCACTCAATAATCAGACTCACACAAAGATTTATATATATGAATATTCACATTGTAGTACTACATAAACAAATATTTTTAAATGACATAACTGGAGTACCATTAAATGAATTACCTAAGGACCATTAAAAATCTAATGAAGTCTTTAGATATAAGTTATTCTGCAGAGTTTTCATGTTTGGTTGATTGAGAGGTGATGGTACAATTAAAAGAAGAATGAAAGGAAGGAGAACACTGATGTAAGGGGGGAATATTCCTGAAATATCTCAGGGCATATAATATTTCTCATAATTTGCTAAATCAGAGATGACACACTAGTGTCCAGCAAGTGGATTATAGACCAGGTGTGAGCTACTGACTCCCCCATATCCTCAGAGCAGTGAGGCAGTGGCCTGGGATTTAAGAACCCTGGTTGGTCTCTTGACATCCATCATTTGTACAGCTCCAGAGAAGCCAGCTGCAGAGAACATGGCTCAGCACATTATGGACAAACAGCCCATGGAGTTTACTAGGGAAGTTGGTCTTCCAGGTGCTCAAGAATAAAACAACCAGTCTGAGGCCATATTAGGGAGAGGGGTAGGGAAGGAAGAAGGAGGTCTGCAAGAATACTACCACAAAGAAAACTCACAAATCAATAAAATTTGATATGGATGAGAGAGTTAATCCATGAACCAAAGAACTGTTCAAGAAAAAAAAAAAAGCACAGATACTAACAAAACTGATTTCAGTAAAATCAAATTAAAATGGAAAAATAAAGAAGTGGTTTAGCTGCCCTTTTAAAGAAAATTGATCAAGGAATTAAACTAACTGAATGGTGTAACATCAAGTTAATATTTTCTTGATCAATTTATTCTCCATTAGTAAAATTATGGTTGGAATACTTGTATTCATAAATAAAAATTAGGGAATCAAAACAGGGTCACACTGGGAGTAGAAAGTCCGCTGTCACTTAGTGACACCTGTAAGATAGGAAATAATTAAAGGACAGGATCTCTTACCCCTTTCCACCAGCATCTTTACTGAAGACGCTGCTGGACATATAACCTAACATGTCTCAGTCAAATACGCTGTGCAGGCAATGACTCCTCAGTTCCTCTCTTCCTTAGAATGATCCTTGATGCTGTTCATAAAATAAGTCTAATGTTCGAAGTTCTAGTCCCATTATGACTCTTCTTAGATTCAGTTTCTAAGGTCTCTTAACCCACGGTTCCTATCTGTCCATCAAATCCGCACACCTAATCAGAAGACGAGACAGTTAATTTGTACTCACAACATATCCACAGCATGACCTTTGTTCCCTGCCTCCTACTCCCCACTCACTCCTTGTTCCATACAGCCCAGGGTTGGGTGGGATGAATGGAAACAGATGTGGTGATGGAGGTACCATAGGGAATGAACAGGCAGAAGATGATTGGAGACATTCCCTGCCATTTTTTTTTAAACCAGAAAACAAGAACAATGGAATAAAAGTATTTGTTTGCACATATTCTTTCTTCACCATGAACTTCCCCTACTCTTCATTTATATTCTCAAAGTCTTTTACTTCACTGGCATTATCATAATGAAAGATCTTTTTTTTTTTTTTAAAGGAAAGTGAATTTTTTTTTTTATTTATTTACTAGAGAGAGAGAACATGAGAGGGCGGAGGGTCAGAGGGAGAAGCAGACTCCCTGCTGAGCAGGGAGCCCGATGCGGGACTCGATCCCGGGACTCCAGGATCATGACCTGAGCCGAAGGCAGTCGCTTAACCAACTGAGCCAACCCAGGCGCCCCAGATCTTTTTTTTTTTTTTGAAATGGGAACGGACAGTGTGGATTTGGTAACAATTATCACACTGTTTATAGGCATAAGGATAATGAGTCCCATTCCACTGCTTTATACAAAGTAGTAAAGTAGAATTGAAATTTTGGTTTATCCTTACATTTGTACTGTTTACTGTCTTATAGACGCACTCTTTTCTGAACACCAGAATCCAGTTCAGCCTGGCATTTAAAAGGGGCCAACAATCATTTAACAAGTAAATGAGTAACTGGACACCACTGACCTTCATCTTGTTGTTTTTGGTGTATATATTGTGGGTTTATATTTACCGCTACAGATTGGTAAATGTGGGAAAATAGCTTCAAATTGAGATGAGGACAAGACCCCTTTGCTTCTTGAGATCATTTTTTTTTAAACTTTCTTGTTTAGAAGATAGTTTGGAAGTGTCTTACTTCTTAGACGGTAGTTTTCATAATGGAAAGTGACTCAAAATGAAGACGTCTCTGTTCAAGGCCTCTTTTTTTTTTAAGTCTTACCCAAAAGGAAGTGAGTATGAAGTAAATTGCATAAACTTAAAGTGCTGCAGACATGAAGACCAAAGCAGGAAGAAACATGCCACCGATGTCCTGGTTGGGAACATACTGTGTCATGTGAAGAGACATGACAAAAACAGCCCTCTTTAAATTACTTTTGGCAATAGTGATTGCATTCATTTTACTTTTGCCTGAATATTTTAAGACACCAAAAGGTGAGTATATCATTATCATTTATCTTTTCTTTTTTCTAATTTTTAAAAATTATGATAGCTAATGGTTACAGGAAAGGTCTTTTTGGATACATGCTGCATGGGCTGAAAGGTCTATGTCTAAAAAGTTAAGAAAATGAGATTGTAATTTTAATTGACTTTTATAGAGCCCAGTAAACTTATTCCCAGTACTTCATTATTGTGGCACACAATCATGAGATGAAAAATGAAGAGACATATTTAAAATCTGTAGTCTAGATTTTAAACATCGAATTTGCATTAATCTTATCACATGATTTTGCTCTCTGAAGTAGTTTCCTTCAAAAACAGTTTTAAGTATGCTTTTAGATTCTGGAAGCATTTTATAAAGCAAGTACTATTTATTATGTTAAAAATGCTTGATTTCCCTCCATCCTAGCCATTTCACACAGATAACTCACTGTTGCCTTTTGAAAAATGAGAGTATTCAAAATATAATTAAAATAAGATGGGTGCAAATTCCGGCAGGTGTGTGTGTGTGCGTATGTAGATTTGTAACTAGAGTAAAATGGAACAAAATGAACTCTGTGGATAATTCAGGGACTTGTGATATGATTGTTGAAACCTAGGATAAGAAAATAAATAAATGTAAATTGAAACTGTTTTTACATGTCAGTAAAAGATTTGAAAATATATTAATGTGACAGTTCAGATGATAAATGTGCTCCCCAGCATTTAATAAGAAGAAAGGGTAAAAAGAAAATGCTGTATTCTATCACTAAAGTTATATGAATTTGCTTAAAATCAGCAAAAAGTTTATATTTGATGACTTGCTGCAATGATTATTGTTGCATATACATGACGCTAAGTGGCCAGATAAAAAATATTTTGCTAAATAAACACTGTGCAATTTTGTGAATGACTGAATTTTTCAAATTTTTCTTGGTTTTCTAGCATTATGCTGTTTAGGATAAAAACCATAACATATATTTTTTAATTCTTGATTCCACATAGTGAAAAATATAAAGAGAATAGTAAGAATTTAAATGGAGATAACATATTTCGATTTTTAAGCTTTTTGTGGTGGAGAGTAACCTCATTTAATAGTTATCTAAGGTAGGCCATAATGTGGACCTTGCACCTCCAAAAAATTAGGTTCATCTAATGTAAACCAGGTAATCAGCTTAAAAAGGATTTCATAAACTGTTTGCTAACTATTGGTTAGTGTTTTATGAGAACTAGTGATTGCCAGACCATGTTAAAGGTTTTTCTTTTTTGAGCAGATGCCTTTACAGTAATCAACCATCAATGATTTCCATTTTCTTACTTTCATAACTGATTACATCAGCCCTCAATACTCCCTATATTGCCTCCCCAAACTGAAAATAGCCATTTGTCTTTTCCTGGTCCAAGAACAGCATAGATATTTCCTTGGACTCTTTGGAGGGGGGGATGGATTTATTTGGGAATTTTGTTTCAAAGAGACCCTCCTTGGGGCAAACAAACAAAGATGTTTGAAAACCATCATCTTAATCCTGATGTCATTTTGCGGTAGAAGGAATTTTGCACAGAGCCACCATTAATGAAAGGCTGATTATTGGGCAAAATATTTTACACATGCAATAGTGCAATAATAATGCTTTATATTTTATAATGGCTTATGGATCACCAGGAACAAGTTCATATAGCCTCACTTTATATAATCTAATGTAGATTCAACTAAGGGCACATAATTGTTTCACTTTTTTCAGTAGTTTTTTAAATCACAATAATAGTTGCCTCATGAAATGTGTTGACTTGTCAACTAGAGTATTTCATAAAATAAAATACCTGGTAAATTATTTAGATGATAAGCTAAGAGTGTTCAAGAAGTGCTAAAATTAACCTTGAGACTCTCCTGTACAGTCTTACTCTTCTTATCAGTTACTTGTGGGTTTTTTTTTTCATTTTTTTTCTTATATCCCATTCACTTTTATTTCTAAGATAAATATTATAAAATGATTTTTACTTATAAATTATTCACTGATACCATGTCGTTAAGACATCACATGAATTCAGAGGGAATCTTAATGAGGAATAATGTATTCACGAAGTCTAATAGATTTGATTTCAAAATAATAAACCCTCTGAAGGCCTAAGTTAAAAATAGAGAACTGTGTTTGATCCTTTTTCATCAAGAATGTATCTGAGTCTCTGAATAATCATTACTCAGAATATTCAATTATCATAATTACACAGTATAAGCTATCTAGTCTAACTTCACTGAAGAAGAGGAACTTCTTCAATGGTGTTTTGGACTTTTAATGAGTTTGCACTGAGCATATGCACTGGCAAGAGCAACTATTTTAATACTTTCAGTTTATTTGAAAGGCAGCTTATCCCGAGATCCAATAGTTAATATAACGATATGATAGACTTCTGTTGCACATAGATAATGGAGATAGAAAGGGGAATGGATATATTTTGATTCAGAACTGCTTGCAATTAAGGGAGCCTGGGTTGCCCCCAAACAAGAGACTTCACCAAACTTTTCTTAGACTTGCAGTGTTTAAGAGAGAGCTGGTTAACTCAAATAAATCTCAGTGATCTTTTATTTACTTATTTATATTTATGAATAGCGCCTCCCTGTGCTCACTTTGGCACGTGTACTGAAATTGGAATGAATAGGATCTACCTGGACCGGGAACCTGGGGCTACAAAAACGAAAGGCAATTCTTCCTTCAAGGAGTTTTCAGTCAGGAGGATGCCTGACTGGCAAATAATTAAAGATAGTACTGTAATTACTAAAGCAGCAATGCATAAAGGTGTGATGGAACCTAAAAGTTGCTTCCAGGCCTGTCTGGGGAGGATGTTCCTTCCATTTTTGTTGCAAAGAGAAATCACTGTCTGTCAGAGTTCTAATGATCAGCTAATATTTCTCCTTACCTGCCTGCAGAAGCACTTTCTAAGAGAAGCAATTATTATTGATTTTCAGATAAAATGTACTCATCTAAATATCTCAGAAATTCTTGAAACCAGAAACTGTAGTGAGTTATACAAGTGTCTTACTGATCATTCGTGGCAATGCGAGACAGGAATAGCAAACATGAAAACACCTGAAACCTAATTTTATCTAGCTGTTCCACTTCCTCACTTACATTTTAAGAACCAAACTGACATAAACCGTGTTTACCAGCTTTCATTTCCCCCTTGCATTTCACACTTTCTGATGGAAATGATAGTATAATGGGCAGTGAACTTTAAGAAAACAATGGATAAAGCAACTTGACTTAGGAACTAGAGGATAAATCCCGAAGTGTATGAGCCTCTGTACACCTTACTTCTGTCTGTATGATAAAGAACAGTGTTAGCAAGGGTCACTGCAACTAATTTGCCTGAGAGTGTTATCTTTGTTCTTAAAAAAGGGCACTTTATTTCCCTCTTATTGACTGGCTCATTGATAGAAAGTTAATCAGCGATGTCTACCGCCTCCGGGGCGGCCCTGGGGCGCCCCTGTCCCCGGACCAATTGCTTCCGAAAGGCGATTCGGAGGAGCTGGAGGAGGAAGACGGAGCTAGAGGAGCTAGAGGAGACCCTGCCGGAGAGACTGTGGGCGCTGCCGGAGATGTTCCCACAGAGGGTCCGGTCCGCAGCTGGAGCCACTTTTGATCTCTCCCTCTCTGTGGCTCCGAAAATGTACAGGCTTTCCAGGGCAGCCTTGTATGGCTTGGGACCACTTTCTTCATTTCATGATCCTGGTTCTTCTTGTTCTCTTCGAGACTGGGAAGCTGCCCCTGGAGCCGCAGCGGCAGAAACTTCTAGGGCCTAACCCAGGGCGCTCAAGAGGAACGCTCAAGAAGCGCGCTACCTTCGCTTTTGGGAAAGATCTAGATCGCCACTGCTCTATGACTGGTCTTGGTGGGACAAATTTGAAAATTCAGTAGTGTTTGAACTGCTGATTATTGGGATTCTCTCTCTCTCTCTCTCTCTCTCTTTTTTTTTTTTTTTTTAGGATTCTCCCCAAAGTCTCATGGAGACTTCCAACTTGCAACTGTGTCCTCCGCCCTGTCTCATTTCTTCTGTCCTCGCTCTGATACCAGAGAGCAGCAATGCGGATGGTTAGGCCTGCCCTGGCCATCCCACGCCTTTCCCTAAATCGCTCATGACCGGCAGATCTCACAATCCCACTGTGGCACAGGAACTGATGCCACTGGGAAGGATACACCGCTGACCATTTTTGTTTTTAAGCATGGAGATGTTGCACACACTATGAAATCCGTAATGGATTACAGCCGTAGTGTTAAGCAGACGCTGTGAATTGCTATGTTGGAAAGGAGGGAGGGCCGGACAGCAGTTTCATCCATAGGATGGGGACTGCGGAGGACAGAGCAGGAGCTCATTTCCTCTGCTCATTTTGGCTATGAGAGACCTGTGTGTCTGTCTAAAAAAGAAAAAATGTAAGCGCTCACTTTTTTGTATTTAAATATTAAAAACAATGCCAATGGAAAAAAGAAAAAAAAAAAGAAAGAAAGTTGATCAGTAATCCCCAATAAGGTCTGGGAAAGAGACTAATGGGTATTAAAGTTTTTTTTTTAAAGATTTATTTGTTTATTTGAGAGAGAGAGAGAGAGAGAGAGAGAATTTTAAGCAGACTCCCTGCTTAGTGGGAGCCCGCGCCGGGGCTTGATTTCATGACCCTCAGATCATGACCTGAGACAAAATCAAGAGTCGGATGCTTAACCGACTGAACACCCAGGTGCCCCTAAAATGTCTTTAAAAATGTAATAAATACTTACACATGTACCAGGTACTATACCAAGTACTTTTACATATAACTCATTTTGATGCATTAAATATTTCAACTCCTTCATGGTGAAACATCATTCTCAAGAGAGACTTTTCCGAAAATATTCAGAGAGAAGGAATAAAACTAGATGGATACATTTACTTTGTTGTAACATTTTATATCTTATGGAGTTTTCTGAATCTTTGTAGATGAGAATGACTACTTATCGACACAATGTTTGCATGTATATTTCACATAC